AGGAGGATGGAGAAGGGTCTGCAGTAGAAGCCTTATGAGAAGCGGCTGAGGGTTCTTGGTGCATTGAGCCTGGAGACGAAGAGTCTGAGGAAGGACCTCACTGGGCTCCTCAACATCCTTCTGAGGGGCAGTGCAGGGTCACGTACCAATATCTGCTCTCTGTGACCTGGGCCAGGACCCAAGGAAACAGCACAAAACTGCATCAGGAGAGGTTTAGGTTGGCTATCAGGAAAATATTTTTCCCCTAGAGGGTGGTCATGCACTTGAACTGGCTCACCAGGGTAGAGGTCACAGCACCAAGTCTTGTTCCAGTTTTGTCTTACAACTTCCTCTATACTACTGATTCCCTCCATCAYTGAACATTCCTTTATGCTATCCATRCTCTGGTAGCAGACTGTTTACTGCCACCTTCCTTCATCCACGTGAATTGCCATAAATCTTATCTTGCTCAAGAAACCRTGTTCTCATCTAAAATTTGTAGAGGATCTCTTAAATATTTTCTGCTTTCCATATTACGTCTGCTGAATCAAACAGGAATATTTCTGTTGTCTTAAATGCATGTTGGAACAGTTTGATAGATTATGGCCCCTTTCAGGGCAAAAGACTTGTCTAAATCTGCTTCTGAGTTACCCGGGGCTGAAATTCTCATTGCTTTGTGTTCCGAAAGACATATGTAAGTATATATAAATTAAATAAAAGAACAACATTGAATTAGCCAAAGTTCAGGGATTTGTTTGTCAGTGAGATTTGTATCTTCAGGAAAGTTCTCTATTCTGTAGGTTTTCCATTAAGCCTGTCTTGTCAATTAAAGAAGAAATGCATCTTGATCCACTGTCAATCTGTGGACATAATAATTAAAATAACTGCAACATGTATTAACATTTGGTTAAGTAGGTCATGTAGAGTCTCCAGTGGTACTATTTCTGGCATATTTTAATCCCTAAATAATAGTTTAAATAAGTTTTCATCAGATTGTAATGTTAACTGATACATTTTTTGATCACTAAATAGTACACGTGCTGTGGTGTGTATTGCAATCGTGTATATTTTTAAAAATTACTGAGCAGAAATTAAAATACCATTATTTACAGCTTGTGAAACAATTTTCAAATAAAAAATGCTGCCAGTTTATAAATTCCATGTGGTCTTGTGATACATATATTTCTATTTAAGAGCAGAGATTGTGTTGGTTGCAGGAATTATACACACATGGAGAAAATTTAAAAAAAAATTAGTATAGTTGTGTTTGTAGATGTAAGAATGTTAATGATCAAATTTTTCAGATAAAATACATAAAAGTGACAATTTATGCACTTCATAAAAATAAAAAGCAAAAAATGTTACTAAACTGTTTCTCACATCTAGTGACTTTCAATACAAATATTACTTTAGGTATCTGGGAATATTTTAAGAAAACTGCTTGAGGGGAAAGGTTTTTTCAGCCCATTTAATGGAAACCTGCCACTTTTAGTAAACTTTATTGAATAGCTTTGATGTCTAATGCAACTTGGTGTTTGTGCAGAACAGCAGTTGTGGTAGAAGGTTACCCAGCAACATAACCACTTATCCCAAAAAAACCTACTGGCGTGAATAGTTTGCATTCATTAAAGAAAGGATTCATAATGGCTTTATTTTTACGCTAATATTAGAAGTAATTCAATAKATCATAATGATGAAATGAAATTGAATTGACTGCTTGCACTGAARGTTACACACTTGACATTTTTATTCTTAGCTTCTATCTGAAATATAAATAATCCCTTTTTCAACTAAACTGTGAAATAATTTTTGCTGTAGCCCTTAAGAATCTATTAGGTGTGAGAAGGGTAAATCATTGTCAGAATTAAATGTTGTCATTCATTTTTTCAATATCTTCCTTTGAATGAGAACATTGATTGCCATTTTCATTAACATCATTTTAAGATTAGTAGCATCAACACTGTTATATACACATATAATGCTGTCAATGCTTGGGATATGGGAACAGAAAAAATACTTGGTTGTATCCTTTTAAATGCATCTTGCAGAAGGTACAACTGCAAAATTTCTATTTATTGCTTTGTTATTGATAAATAAAACACAATATTCTTTGTTAGCACAAGAAAATATAGTTAGGGTAAGTAGGCTTGATTTTAATCCTATTTTTAGTGCTGCTATTTGCTTCATCTTAACTAAGTCTAAACATGATCAAGTCTCACGTTTTTATATACAAATGGGTATGATAATAGTAAGTTTATTACTAAGGAAGAAATAGAAAAATTTCATTCTAAGACATAAATCAGCTTTTACCAAAACAAACGTACTAAGGATTTATTTCCGAATCTGCTCATAGATTATAGAAAGCCTGTCATAAAACTCTCACAAACCCTCAAGCATTTTTGTTTTCCCTTTAGTGGACAGTAGAACATGAAGACATTTCAATTTCATACAGTATTTCTTGTGACAGGAGGTATGGGGTATCTGGTTCAGACAAAGAAGACACCATGGATGTTTTTGATGCCATATGTCCAACAGTAATAGCACATATCCACGGTAAGGCAAAACTTACGACTCTTACAACTTATTAATATAGCTCTTGCTTTTTAAAAATTTCTTATTTAAAATCTGAAAAAAAGTAATTAATTCAGTTCAGTTTAAAGATTCTTTAATGAGAAAGCCGAAGAGACAAATTTGGCACCCAGGAGTGTGRCTTGAGAAAGTGAAGAGAAAAATTGTAATAATTGCATTCTGGTTTTAAATGCTAGGTATTGGGGTACAGTTAGAATTCACCATGCTGTTTGCAGTAATGATGTC